ATGGTGCTGATTTGGATTAGTCAATTAACTTAAGTTGCATGTTTTGGGATGTGGGAGGAAACCAGGGAACCCGGGGAAAACCCACGTGAGCACGGGGAGAATGTGTAAACTCCGCACAGAAACGTCGGCTGGCTTGGTCAGGACTATAACCAGTGACGTTTTTGCTGTGAGGGAACAGTGCTAACAACTGGGCCACCGTGCTACCCATCTAGGGAAGGAGGAGTAAGGGTGGAAGGGGGGTTTTTCAAAGCAAAGATGGCTGTCAAATAGAACTTAGGGTATTTATAGTGGGTTAGGAATCATCTGATTGGTGAATCATAAATTGGATAATGCATGGTCAATCATGAGCAAGTGATCCTCTTGAAATTAGTTTGTAAATAAACCTCACCTAATACATATCATGCATTAAACACAATGAGTTAAAGGAGGTTTTCATGCTATCACACTGAAGTCCAGGTTCATATCTAGAGACTGGAATATAGTTAAACATTGTGATTTTGAGTTTAAGGGTGTGTTCACATTTGTAGATCGGTAAAAGAAGAGAAGCTGACTACATCTACATGGACACGAGTAATCGAATTATTTTCTGTAATCTGAATTAGACAATATTATGATGGTGTTTACATGAGCTACATAATCCATAATCCCGTTTTAAATACCGTTATAGCTTATGATTCGATTAACATCACCACGCCATCAAAATTTTGTTTCATGTAATTTCGGGTGTGTCATATTTAATTTGTTGACTTTAACTGCAGTTTGGCCCTTTCATTTTCATTCAGGAACATTTCATGCATACCCCCCCGTGACAATTGAGATATTAGATGCGAGTATGAACTGCTGGAAGAGTGTTGCTTTAATGGAGTTCGATACCGCACATCACTTACGGAAATAACCCTCCACATTTCGTGATGTGCGTGTCTCACAAGCTTCGAATGTTATCACTCAATTGAATGGCCAATTGAATGACTCAATTATCAGCTGATAGATATGGGCCAGTAGGGGCCTTCTGTGCCTACTGGTAGGCTCAGAAGGCAGTGATCATCCATCCACATGGTTATTCAGCTATACTAATAGAAAAGACCCCAGATCCAGATCTGTTTCTACATTACTGTGATGGTTGGGTTTAGAGTTGGGGTACACGTTAATAAAATATAATTAATGGGAAATTTAATAAATAAAATAAATAATTCTTATTAACTTCCAGCCGCAGCCGTATGTGATCTATAGCTGTTTAACCATGTGGATGGATGATAACAGCCTTCTGAGCCAACTAACAGCGCAGAAGGCCCCTACTGGCCCATGTCTATTAGCTGATTACCACTGATAACGCCCATTTAGTCGAGTGATAACATTCGAATCGGCTGGGTATCTGTGGTCCTTCACTGACCCGGTAGGTGCAGTAGTGTCAAACAGCCATGTGTGTATGGACTATCCTGTCGCAAAATGCTTTGAAATTCCTACATGACGGTAATAGTTTGATTGCGGTGTTTACATGTCTGTACTGCACTTCAGTATTGCCACTAATATCAGCATCCTGCACATGTCTTAATCCGATTTCTCTTTAGTGGGATTATGACCTTAATCGGATTAGATTAATCAAAAATCCCTGTTTACTTGGTCGACTCTCAATCAGAGTATTGTCCTAATCTTATTAAAATCGGATTATTGTGTCCATGTAAACGTACTCAGTGACTACGTTTACATGGACACCAATAGTTTAATCAGATTAAGGTCACAATCGAACTAGAGAGCAATGGAATTAAGACGTGTGGAGTACGCCATTTTAGTCGCATTATTAAAGTGCATTACAGACATGTAAACGCCTTAATCGAAGTATTACTGTCATGTAGGACTTTTCGCCACGTTTTGCGACAGGATAGTTCACACACGCGCACACACACACACACACACACACACACACACACACACACACACACACGCGCACACACACTTTTTTTTTTCTTCCATTCAGCATACGGTATGAACTTCCATTAAAACAACACTGTTCCAGTAGTTCATAGTTGCATCCAATATCTAGTTTGTCACGGGGAGGCATGCCCGAATGAAAGTGAAAGTGCCAAACCTCAGTTAAAGTTGACAAATTACTTTTGTAAAGTAAATTTTAAAGCAAAACTTACAAAAAACATCCAAAACCATGCTGAGCAATGTAATAAACTTGCGAGAAGCTTATAAAATGTATAAAAGGGGTCAAAACCATCGTAATCTCACGGCAGTTCATAACTTTTTGATTTATTGGCTAATTTGTTTTAATTTGCATGATCTCATATATATATATATATATATATATATATATACAAGCCGCAACCCAGTACTGGGAAACACCCATACACTCTCACATTTACACACACACTCATACATTACGGCCAAAGTAGTTCATCCAATTCACCTATAGCAAACTTCACACAGAAAGGCCAACTGGCCCAGCCGGGACTCGAACCAGTGACCTTCTTGATGTGATGCGACAGTGCTAACCACTGAGCCATCGTGCTGTCCTTCATAGGTTTTCATACAAATTAATTTATACGAATTTGTACAAATTAGCCACTTTTCTGATAACACGTAAAACAGTTACGTTTCCTCGCGAGATTGGGCTGGTCAAAACAGTGACAGACATTTTAACGCAGAAACAGAACAACAAAAAAAGTACTCATGGCCACATCATGTCCTGTTTTTGGCTCTTTTACATGTTTTTGTTTGGTTTTGCCTTTATTATTTTACCCGAACCGAACCAGAAAGCAGAAGGACACCCATTTCCTTTTCTCTGTTTGTTTGGTGTACACCAGGGTTCAGTATCAGGTGCCGTTTACACTCATGCGTTTTGTTTTAATATGCAAATGTTTTGTTATGGTTACGTCTGGCGTCCACGCTACTCTGATATTCTTGACCTGCGAAAACGAAAACACTGAAGACCTTGTTTTAGTCTACATCTCCACTAATCCGGATACATTTGAAAACGGTGCTTTCATCCAAAATCGATCCATGTCCACATTATTGTTTCGATTCTTTCCGTAATACACACTAAAACGACTGAAGTGATTTCGTTCATGTACTGCTCATGCGCACAGATGTAACACACCTTAACTTGCGTCATGTCTGCCTGCAGTTTATTTACTTTCTGTCTGTTTATACATGGAGCATGTACAAACTGACGTTAGTAGGTAATAAAGCTGTCAAAACAGACAGCATCCAAAACAACTGTTTTACATAGTCGGCAGCTAGCTCTTGTAGTGTCGCCCACTGACACTAAGCAGGGCTGCATCCGGTTAGTACACTGTGAAATAAAAAAAGTTGACAAACTTAAAATTAAGGCAACAAACTTGAGGACATTTTTGAGTTTATTGAACTTAAATCGAGTCGATGCAGTAATTATGATGAAAGTTACGTTAACTTAAAAACGTCCTCAAGTTCGTTACCTTAGAATTTTAGGTTGATTCATTCATTCATTTTCTTTTCGGTTAGTCCCTTTATTAATTAGGGGTCGCCACAGCCAAATGAACAGTCAACTTATCCAGCATTTGTTTTAAACAGCGGATGCCCTTCCAGCTGCAACCTATCTATGGGAAACATCCATACACACTCATTCACACTCATACACTATGGACAATTTAGCCTACCTAATTCAGACGCATGACTTTGGACTGTGGGGGAAACCAGAGAATCCGGAGGAAACCCACGCGAACAAGGGGAGAACAAGCAAACTCCACACAGAAATGCCAACTGACCCAGCCGAGGCTGGAACCAGCGACCTTCTTGCTGTGAGACGGAATCACTACCTACTGAGTTGAATCAACTTTGTTGATTTTTCCAGTGTACTTGGATGGTAGACCGCACAGGAAAATTAGGTTGCTGCCGGAAGTGGTGTTAGAGAGGCCAGCAGGGGGTGCTCAACCTGTGTGGGTCCCAACGCTCCAGTATATTGATGTGGACTCTATACTACTCAGTGAGCGCAGTGTTTTGGATGAGACGTTAAACCGAGATCCTGACTCTCTGTGATCGTTAAAAATCCCAGGATGTCCTGTGAAAAAGAGTAGGCGTTTAGCATCAACCATCCTGGCCAATCTTGCTCACTGGCCTCTGTCCATCATGGCCTCCTAACCATCCCCATATTATAATTAGCTTTATCACTCAGTCTCCTCTCCACCAATCAGCTGGTGTGCGATCTGGTGCAATATGAGTACGGCCACGTCATCCAGGTGGATGTGTAAATCGCTTTGAGTGTTTAGAAAAGCGCTATATAAATGTAACGAATAAATGTCGTCCACCATGCTAGCTGAATTGGTCACCTCTAAAATGCGTCATCGTTTCCGAAAGCCTTTGTTTCCGCCGTTAAAACTGCATCACCCGCATTTACCCACTTTAGACAGCATTTTCAAGAAGATACAATTTTTTGTTCCCAAAAAATGCACTGTGGAAGGACGGCCAATATAGAGAGAGAAAAATATGTATTTTTAAACTAAAATGTATTAAGACTGATTTATACTTCTGCTTCGAGTGATCTGCATGACCCAGGGCCCCTGCCTTGCGCATATCAGTGCATTTATACTTCTGGGTGCTGTTTGTGTTGCTCTGCAATATTACTTCCGAACCGCTAGCTGGCAGTAGGTTTTTATGTTCCTCTGTGTCGAGTTTCTTCTCGAGTGTTTTGTTTTATCTGGACACTACCTCAATGAACAGGAAGCTGAAACTCACTCATTCAGAGGCAGGAACTGGCGGACGAGTAATAACTTTAATCATAAGGGAAACACAAATCAAAAGTTTCCATCTGGAGCTCCTTTACGGTAGAGTTTGGACTAAATTTTGAATCCCGCTCCCGCAAGGTTTTATCCCGAACCCGACCGCTCCCGCTTATATTCAGCATTTGTTGTCCTGCTGCCCAACCCGCGCCGTTTTCTACCCGCCACGCCCAATCCCGCTAAAGAGCGGGGGGAGAACAAAACCGAAAACCACCCAGCTATACAGAGTCCAGACAGCCTATAACAAGCTGTCTGTATAAACACACACACACACACACATATGCACCAAGCACACACACACAGACAAAGCTCCCTCTCTCATTCCCACGCAAACACCCAAGCACAAACACACACACACAACAAAAAAGCTATACACAGCATCACACTATCTCATTCACACACATACATACGTGTGCTCACTCAAATCGGGAGCGATACTGCTAGACGGCCCGCTCCCGTCCAAAATTCAACCAGTTACCGACCGCTCCCATTCTATTCGGAAATGTATTCCCACGGCGCAGAAATCTGGTCGGCAGACCTCTACTTCACAGGACCCGACACGTGTAAACACTCACTCCATCGGGCTCACGGTTCTTAGCACCGCCCACACTCATCACACAGCTACCAAGCAGACCCATCACAGAGCTTGCGCAACACGTCGATGCGCCATGTAGCTACAAATTTTGAGAGGTGCACAACAGCATCAGCCACAGCGATGCAACTGGACGAAGGCTGCACCAGACCATATGCATGAGCTTAACGCAGAAGTATAAATCAGCCTTTAGTGTGGACATGGTCTTAATTCACAAATGCTGGTGTATCAGAATAGATTTACTGAAAGAAAAACCTTTGAAATCAGAGGCATGGTTATCCACAGTCCTCTCTGAGTGGCATTTTAAACAATTGTGTATCATTCCCTGATTCATCAAGCCATTCTCATACAAAAATTACACAAGTGGTGGACTGCAAGCACAGACACCAGCAAAATATGCACATGCCCAGTAAGCATAAATGGCCACATATCATGCATTTTAGGCTGTATAGTGTGGACAGAGATCATTTTTCTGAAACACAATAAAAACATCAACGCATTAGTGTAAACAGCACCTCAGATAGTAGCGTTCACAATCGAACCACGAGACTTCGATAGCCAAGTGTTGACACACCACTGCATGGGCAAATCTCGCACTAAAAGACTATTTTGTGTACATTTAGAGACCTATAAATAAAACACACAGTCTTACATTCTCCTTTCACACCATAATATTCTTCTTCTCTAGTTTCTCTCTCTCGTTAGAAGAGCTCAGGAAAGCCGCCTGGAAGCGATGATGTGTTCTATAGCTGGGAAACACAAACAGAAATATGATCATGTTTGTTTTTAACTGATGGTGCAGTCACAATTGAAGGCACAATTATTAACCATCCAGTGAAATTTACATTCTCTTTAAATATTTCCCAAGTGATTTCCTAGAGCAAGGACATTTCATTGTATTTCCTATTCTTTTTTTTTCAGTTTGGCTAGAATAAGGCCGTACTCACACTATGTACAGTTGACTCGAACCGGGCCAAAGCACGCTTGTCCCCCCTCCCGTCTCCCCCGACGGCCCGCACTCACACCACAATTGGGCCTCGGCACGCTTACGTCATCGGTGCTGCGCTGTTCAGTGAGAAGCGCTGTCACTCAGCAGCACAGTGGGGATTTCTCTAGTTATATCCTTTCAGTTGTTTGTTATGCAGTGACATGCAGTCAGATATTTTGCCAAACAGTCCTTAGGGATGCAGTGACACGGAGTCAGATATTTCGCCGAACAGATCCGCCACTTTTGCCGCTCATAAACAATCATAAAGCCTTCGTGCTGCAGGTATTAGGAGGTCTGCTGTAGGTGCAGCTGTGGTGCAGTGAGGGGTTTGCGTATTTGATAAGCTACGGCAGTTTGCGTTCACTGAACAGTAAGAATGATTAATAAATCCATATGAAACAGCCCCTTAAAAGTCACGTCTCGCTTTTAGTTTCGGGCTTTGGCACGTTTTACACTCACACTACAAACATACCACGTGAAAGCCCAAGTGAACTGCGCTCAGGCCCACCTCTTCCAACCGGGCCAGGGCCAGCCAAGTGAACCGTGCCTGAGCCCGATTTAGCGCACTCACACTTTTCAAACGATCCGGGAAACGGGCCTGGGCACAGTACGGATGGCATAGTGTGAGCAGGCCCTAAAAGCACAGGGTGGCACAGTGGCTCAGTGGGTAGCACTGCCTCCTCACAGCAAGAAGGTCACTGGTTTGAGTCCCAGCTGGGCCAGTTGGCATTTCTATGTGGAATTTGCATGTTCTCCCCGTGTTGGCGTGGGTTTCCTCCGGGTGCTCCGGTTTCCCCCACAGTCCAAACACATGCGCTATAGGTGAATTGAATAAACTAAATTGGCTGTAGTGTATGAGTGTGTGTGTGAGTGTGGGAGTGTATGGGTGTTTCCCAGTACCGGGTTGCAACTTGAAGGGCATCCGCTGCATTAAACATATGCTAGAATAGTTGGCGGTTCATTCCGCTGTGGCGACCTCTAAAATAGAGACTGAAGCTACGGTCACATTGTGTGTGCGAAATTCTGTCGTACGTCGCTGCGAAAAGGGGCGGGATTAAACAAGATTTTTAGACAGTAAAAAAAGCGAGCGATTGCTCCATGTTTTAAATTTTGTCCAGAGAGGTCATGTTTTGATCCTTGATTGGTCTCATGCAGTCAAGTGATGCGATTTCGCAGATCAGAGTTCACGAAGCTCGAACTTTGCACCGCAACGAACTGCGAAACCTAACGCATGACCCTGCTTTTCCGGTCTGACGCATTCGCGTGCGTATGAATGGAAGTCTATGGGAAGAAAAGTTAAGTGTGACCACAGCTTAACAATGAATGAACAATGAATGAATGAATTTTCATAGTATTTTCTATTTTATTTTATCTTTTTTTTAAAGTTTGACTGGAATGAAAGCAGTTTTTACATTTCTTTTAACGTCAAATTTGGCCCTTTAAGAAATGTTTTGATTGTCTATTGGGGGATGGAAGTTGGATATTGGGGGTGGTGGTTGGTCTATTTCTACTACTACCTACTACTCCCGCATCTGCCACCTGTGCAGAAATCAACTGGGCTGTAACATGTTGCCAGATTGAGGTAAAAAAAATACTTTGAAATTTAAATAATTCTTCAGTTGTGTGAGGTGATGAGCTTCGTACAAGATCTGGCAACTTGACAAGCATTGGAAGAAGTGATTTATTCTTTAAAACTACTGTAGATTGGGCCATACAAATCAAAGGAGTTTATTCATTAATTCTTTTTTTTCGGCTTAGTTCCTTTATTAATCAGGGGTCGCCACAGCGGAATGAACCGCCAACTTATCCAGCATATGTTCCATGAAGCGGATGCCCTTTCAGCCACAACCCGACACTGGGAAACACTCATACACTCTTGCCATGGCCAATTTAGCCTACCCAATTCACCTACAGCGCATGTGTTTGGACTGTGGGGGAAACCGGAGCACCAGGAGGAAACCCAAGCCAACAAGGGGAGAACATGCAAACTCCACACAGAAATGCCAACTGACCCAGTCGAGGCTCAAACCAGCGACCTTTTTGCTGTGCGGTGTTTGTGCTACCCACCACACTACCATGAAGCCCTACAGGAGTTTAGAGGAGTGAATTACAGGAGTGTTGCCAGGTATGGTCTTATTAACAGAACTTTAACCTAACAATTAACCAAGTTAAGCCTTTAAATGTCGCTTTAATCTGAATACTAGAATCTTGAAAAATAACTAGTAAAATATTATGTGCTGTCATCATGCTAACCACTGAGCCATCGTGCCACCCCACGTTTGATAAATATTTTATAAAGAAGTCAAATTCCACAGGAGAGCTAAGTACTTAGACTCAGCCATAAAAGCTGCCTGCTATAAGCCAGGCTTGTTTGTTGTGTGAGAGATGAATGAATGTGTGTGGCTGCACTTTTAGCATTTTTGTTATTTGCTGTACTTACTGGACGCAGACCATGATGAGGATGGCTAAGCAGCTGATGACTGACAGCACGACAGCCATGATGACGAGGGCGGCGTGTGTGGTTTCAGTGCTGCTCTCATCTCGAGACGTCTCCAGAAGCTGGATGCCACAGCGCTCACCATCATAACCTCGTCTACACCTGAAACAATCAGACATTGCAAAATTTCCCACAGCATTTTCCCACAAATTCATTAATAGTACTGGTTGTTAAAAGTTATTTAATTAATTGTTTAATTTCATTCATTAATTAATTTTCCTTCAGGTTAGTCTCTATTTCAGTGGCCGCCACAGTGGAATGAACCGATAACTATTCTAGCATATGTTTTATGCAGCGGATGCCCTTTCAGCCGCAAACCAGTAATTTGATTTTCTTAATTTAAAAGAATCAGTTAATTAATTAATTAAAAATCAATTAATTAAATAAATAATTAATAATAGCTAATTAAAGAAATAATTAAATTCCATAATAATAATAATAATGATTGACAATGTCGGCGCAATAGCCCAGTTGTTAGCACGCCGACATTGGTAACACTTCAGAGCGTCTCAAGTTCGTATCCCAGCTCGTATCCCAGCAAAGGACATTTCCCGACCCTACACCCATCTCTCTCTCCCACCTCGCTTCCAGTCTGAATACTGTCCTATCTAAAAAAAAGGGCAAAAATAAATAAAAAAACTAATAATAATACTAATTAACAAAACAATAAATTAAAGAAATAATTAAACAATAATAATTAATTAAACAAATAATTAAATGTAATAATTGTACTGGACGGTTGTTTAAAATTGTATTAACTGATTACTTAATTTTTTATAATTAATTAGAAAACTAATAATAATTAAAGAAATTATTAATTAAAGAAATTATTTATCAGAAATAAAAAATCAAAACTATTCATTCATTCATTTTCTTGTCGGCTTAGTTCCTTTATTAATCCGGGGTCGCCACAGCGGAATGAACCGCCAACTTATCCACAAGTTTTTACGCAGCAGATGCCCTTCCAGCCACAACCCATCTCTGGGAAACATCCACACACACATTCACACACTACGGTGAATTTAGCCTACCCAATTCACCTGTACCGCATGTGTTTGGACTCTGGGGGAAACCTGAGCAAAATTAAAACTAATTGTAACTATTTTTTATTTTTCAAAATGTCATTTATTTTTCCTGTGATGAAGAGCCGATTTTCTAGCATCGTTACTGCAGTCTTCAGTGTCACAGGATTCTTCAGAAATTATTTTAATATGTTAGCTTAGTGCAGTATATTTATATATTTATTCTATTTACATTAAAAAATGTTGTTAATTCTATTATTATAGTTATGTTGTTGGTGTCTTGAGGGGAAAGCCTCTTGCTGACACCGGACAACAGTTCATCAAACTGGGCTCGGCTCAGTCGGAAGTACAGCTAAAAGCTTCCATCATCCAGGTGTAGCACATTTGCTATTTACAAGGTGGACTTTGTAAGTGGAAAAAATGAACGCTTCACTAGCGAGAAAACAGTTAAACAGAGCATCTGCAGCGCGAGGATAAAGAACGAGCCTTCTCCATTCTGCCTCTTTATTCCTTTACCTTCGTGGAGTGAGGAAACGGTGGAAACTCACTCCACTTAAGACATCCATTAGCCTGCATATTCAATTTTGTTTGTTAAGCGCAAAGATTTGTTTCGAAACTATTTCTAAACTCAGTTCTAATTTCCAGCGAACGAATAAATGAAAAATAATAACGAAGTGTGGTCAAAAAACTGAGTTATATCCAAACACACGTCCTGTTCTTGTGCCCCATATGGTGATGCAGACGTCTCCAAAACCCGACAGGTGGACAAATCTAAACTTGCTTTTATTAAAACAAATATAAATATGCATATAATAAATAATACTGCTGATAATAATAACATTATACTAATGCAAATTGTCATGAATAAACAGAAAAAAAGCACCCCAAGGCGAAGAAGGCATAGTGGTTTTTATATTTATGTAGAAAGCATTAGTTATTATAATATTTTAATCCTGTAATGTTTTTCATATGTAAAGATGTGTACTGCTGTACATCCTGTGTGTATTAAGCAATGTGTAAGCATTAGTGATGGAAAGTTCGGATCATTTTACTGACTCGGATCTTTGAGTCTCGTTCATCGAGATGAACGAATCTTTTGAGTCATTTCGTTCATTTGGTTCAATTTGCCAAAATATTACTAAAATGTTACGAATTGCTTCCAAACACATCTACAACTAGCCCAAAAGGTTGATCACATGACAAATAAGTCATAAATAGAATCCTATAAGAAGGAGAAAATAATAATTCAATGTTTACCTGCTCTTTTGTCTATGAAGGTATTGTTGTCTCTTTGCTCAGCTCACCCCTTCATGTCTTCAAATGTCAGTGGTTCGTTCACGTTACACTGACAGTCACATATAATCTTAACCACTGTACACAGTCTGAGCCGATAGGAGCCATGATAATTAGTTCACCTTTCAAGTCATCTGGGTCTTGAGTCGTTCGTTCATCACGTGACAGAATGACTCAAACCCGAGGACTCGAGAGATGAACGGTTCAATTCTTTTTCCGGCTCTAAACGCATACGATTGGCCCGTGAGGAACGAATGATTCAGACCCGAGAGAGGACTCGAGAGATGAACGGTTCAATTCTTTTTCTGGCTCTAAACGCATATGATTGGTCCGTGAGGAACGAATGACTCAGACCCGATAGAGGACTCGAGAGTTGAAAGGATCAATTCTTTCTCCGGCTCTAAACGCATATGATTGGCTTCTGCCTTTCCGCAACGAACGACTCAAAAGACTTGAAATATGCGGTATATACCACCTGCACAAATATGCGCACACACGGATGAACGAATCACTCCCTGAGAGGACTCGTAGTTCTCGAGTCATATTAAAGATTCATTCAAAATGAACAAATCGTTCATGAACGACCCATCACTAGTAAGCATTTGGACGTGCTCTGCGCTGGACTTTAGACCAGGTTAATGTTGGTAAATAGCGTGGTCTATTTTATTTCTTCAAATTAGCAACATGAAAACAATGCGCCTTAACACACCTCCTTTATAGACATGCACACCCATGAGTCCACAAAGTGGCGCAAATGGATTTGCTATTTAAAAATGTGGTGCAAAATGTGAAATTTAGGGTTGCACTGGTCTGAAAATAGCACAAAAAAACGTGCCATACACGTCTTGCGCCTTATTGCGCCGGGTGTATGATAGTGCCCTTCATGTGTCAGCTGAGATTACATCCAACATCGGATAATAATGCACATTTCAAAGCACTTCCTTTAAATGTAAAACTTTTGACCACCTCTGTCACTGAATAGAATTGAGCCAGAGTAATGTTCACTCACACACACACGGGTTCGCTCAGGCCGTGCAGGTATGTGCAGTGGCCGTGGATGCAGTAATCTACATGAGAGGTCAGGCAGGGGTCAGCGGTGGTGCTGCGGCTCCGGTGACTGGACGTGTGGTTGGGCTGAACAGGAGTGATGTTTTTATTCCTTTTTCTTCCTTTGTTCTTCTTGCGTCCGGAGCGCTTGTGGTTCTGCTCGTCTCCTTTACTGGCTTGGGTTACTGAAAGATGCAAGATGTGTGTGAGAACATTTGTTTACACTTGCATTATTATCAAAAATAAAAAACGTCTGCACCATTTACTCACACTCGTATGGTTGTGAACTTTTATTACACTTATCACACTATTAACAAATGAAACTAAAATTAAGACTATTAGATCAATAAACTACTAATTATCTGCTTATTAATAGTTAGTAAGGTAGAAGTAGGGTTTAGGTTTTGGGTAGGATTAGGGAATGGCGACACAGTGGCTTAGTGGTAAGCGATGTCACCGTGCACGCTCCTGCTTGATGCGAACTCGCAGGGTCTGTGCGGGCTTGAAGACGCACTCTCTTGTACTGTTTGTGTTTTGTTCTGTCGGCATCGCGGTGTTTCATTCTCAGCGTCTCCATCTTGTTGGTTTCTGTTTTGGTTGGCGCTGAGATGAAACATGCGCATTGCATATGTGTGAGAGCACGATGAGGTGTTTTCATCTATCGTGTGCTCGTGTCTTGCGTCTGTTGTCTAAGCGCGTGGCTCTGCGTTTACATTGTGGTCGCGTGCTTTTGTTGTGTGCTTCAGTCTTGTCCTTTATTGTGAACGCACGGTTAATAAGTTCTCTCATTGGCTGCGTGTTCTTGTCCCGTTTTATGTGAGCACATGGCTTGTGTTGTCTCTGTGTCATGTGCTCTCCCGTATATTGTCTAGTTCAGTGGTTCTCAAAGTGGGGGTCGCGGGACAATGAAGGGGGGTCCCCTGGTGATTTCCAAAAATCGATTTATTTTTATTAAACTTCAAGATTTACCACATTTTATTCATAACCTACTGAAGAGAAAAAATATATACTATATAGTTACTATAATAGCTTATATTTCTATTGCAGGGGTGCTCAACCCTGTTCCTGGAGATCTACCCTCCTACAGAGTTTAGCTCCAACCCTGATCAAATACACCTGAATCAATTAATAAGGACCTGAACAGCACTTGATAACTACAGGCAGGGTTGCAACTGAAATCTGCAGGAAGGTAGATCTCCAGGAACAGGGTTGAGCACCCCTGTTCTATTGGATTGTGACCCCTGGATACATTATATTAAATACACAGCAATAGCATCAAATGCAGCGGACTGATTTTATAACACCAGGTTGAACTTTCTGGTCCATTTACAGCACTGTATCCATTAAAAAACAGAAACGAAGAATAGACTTGGGTCTATGGTGTGTATGCACCATTGTATGCAAGGTTTCTGTATTTATAACCACCTCAGTTCAATTCAATTCAATTTAGCTTTATTTGTATAGCGCTTTTACAATGTAGATTGTGTCAAAGCAGCTTCACATAAATGCTCATAGTAACTGGAACATTGTGGTTCAGGTTTTAGTGTTTAAGTTCAGTTCAGTTCAGTTTAGCTCAGTTCAGTGTGATTTAATCATTACTGAGAGTTCAAACACTGAAGAGCAAATTCATCGATGCGTAGCTCTACCAATCCTGAACCATGCGAGGCAGTGGCGACAGCGGAGAGGGAAAAAAAAACTTCACCTGATGGGAGTGAAGAAAAAAAACCCTGAGGGAACCAGACTCAGTTGGGCACGACCATTTTAATTTCTCCACTGGCCGAAAGTCTTGTGCAGAGCTTCATTCGCCGTGGTTGAGGCTGGAAGATGGCCTCAACGAAGACTCGTCTGTCCCTGGAGCGTCGCTGGAATCAGACTCATGTTCTCCACTCCCCACGACCATGAATTCAGAGGATATTGGGGGTCGCGAGTCACTGGCATTGTCATTTTGGGGGTCAGGGGCTGAAAAGTTTGGGAACCCCTGGTCTAGTTCAGGGATGGGCAAACTTGATCCTCGAGGGCCGGTGTCCCTGCAGAGTTTTGTTCCAACACTAGTCAAACACACCTGAACATGCTAATCAGTGTCTTTAAGATCACAAGAAATCTATAAGCAGGTTGGTTTGATTGGAGGGTTGGAGCTAAACTGTGCAGGACACCGGCCCTCCAGGACCGAGTTTGCCCACCCCTGGTCTAGTTCCACCCTCCATTATTAGTTATTTACATGTATGTTCATCAGTTTGTGTGTTAATTTACTTCTGTTTATATTCTCCTCATGTCTGCTGTCCTGTGCCAGTTCGTCGTCTATACTTTCCTGTGTTCGTGTTCCAGTCCTGTCCTGCCAGCCCAGCCAAGTTCGTTTACCGTTTTGTGTTATAGTTATGTTTTCCCCCCTCGAGGTGGTTTTTGTTGTCCTTTTTGTTTTATTTTAATTTATAATATATCATCTCATGCTTCCTGAACCTTAACAGATATGTAGTTCATTTCTAAACCTTTCTGACTCATAAATGACGTATTTGCAGGTTTGATGTGTGTTAGTAAATAAAGCTTAGCACAATTATCCCATTTATTATTTTCCTTTTGATTTTGGGATCAAACATGAACCAATCACGTGTTCCCTGCGAGATTCATCCAACTAGAGTTATGTGAATTAAAAATGTTAAGGTGACATATTGATAATTTGAGAACCTTTGTACTTAATAACAACCTAATTAAAATTTTAAAAGGCTTTGATCAGGTAGTAAATTAGGTTAATCCAAGAATAATGGACATCTTAGTGGTTAAGTGTGTGTGTGTGTGTGTACCTTTAAAAAAAGGTGGCTCGATGAACATTCCGGATGGATCCTGATCATCGTCAGACTCTAAATCTTCCCCCACTGCGCTCTGAAGACCCTCCCCCGATGATGACATCACAGTCACATGATCCAGCACGGAAGTGTGAGTGGCAGCTGTAGTAATGGTAAACACTGCAGACAGAAACACACACACACACACACACACACACACACACGGTCTATTATATCACAGCAGTAATGTAGCAATGAGGAAAGCTTAGTTTCGGCACAGTTTGTGAATAATAACAGGATCAAAAGCTTCATTATATCACAATGACACATTAACCTCAATTAGAGAATATAAAGAGAGGTTGATCTGCTTAATGTTGGTAATGATGTCGAGTCATCCTGTAAACACCCCGTGCATATTGAACTGAACGAACGAGACAGAAAACATAATAAGCGAGTGGAAAACTTGAGGTCATGTGAGGTCACACTGCACCTGCTGCATTTACGACATGAAATCCGAGTCCTTTATGTGTGCTTTTCAAGTTTATTATATGTAGTCTGGGTTATGATCAATGCAGCACTCCATTCAGGCTTAAATACACAATATAATCACATGATGTGGAAAACTCATTCATCTACTTTGTATAGCACTGCACTGAACACACAGAGACTTTTCCTCTTTAAAAGGGACCTATTATGAAAAAAGGACTTTCATAAGGGGGGTTAAACACAGTTGTGTGATGACTGTGTGAATATAGCCAGCCTATAATAATAAAAAATAATTAATTATATTGTTTATAATCACACTTCATAAAAACAGTCTGCAGAAACACTTTGATTGACATTCTCTCTTTGTACGTGTCATCAGAGGGGGAAAGCCCCGCCCATAAGTGACCATCTCTCCCTCATTAGCATAAACAGCCCTGAGTGAAAATTGTGTTTTTGATTGTCAGGTTGTTGTAGGCCTAGTTATAATAATAGTTTTACATGATCAAACTAGTGTTACTTTCTCCGCTTCAGTAATGTCCAGCTGGTTAATTCATGCTCGTGCAAAGGATGAGACGGACAAAAGTAATCAATGCATGCCCTTCTTTTACTTATTTTCGTGTTGTCCGGTTTACAGCTCCCGGGTGGAATAACTCGAGTGAACATAAAAGAAAGCCGAATTAAACTTTCTTTCTCTGCTTCAGCTGCACAGAAATCATCGAGCTTACATCATCCATCATGCGTGTTGAACTACACTACCCACAATACACTTCGCTGTGGACTACAACTCCCGTAAACAGCAGTCTTACGCCTGTTTCACACCGCAAGCGTCAGCGGCGCGTGAGCAGAGCGTGAGCAGCGCGTATGTCGAGCAGTAGCAGCACGCAGGCGTTTGCCTTTCACACCAGCTGCGTCTGCAGCGCGCAGCTCTTCGGCAGCTGCTGCTGAGATCAACCTATCTCTGTCTATTCTATCTAGTTACCCCTCTATATACAAATACACTTTTTAAACTTTTCATCTGTACCAAGCCCCCTCCTATGCTGTTTCATTAACCTGCAAATGTTTATTTTACAAATTTTATAGATCAAATAGTACTGTATGCTTCTCAAGCTAACTTATATGAGAATTGTCTACAGTCAGAAGACAATCGCCTGTGATATCATGTCATTTGTTTTTTGATTATCAGGTTGCTGTAGACCTAGTTATAATCATATTTATACAATATAGTTATAATGATATTTATACATGATCAAACTAGTGTTACTTTCTCCGCTTCAGTGATGTCCAGCGGCAGAATAACAGCTCGTTAATTCATGCTCGTGCAGATGATGAGACGGACAAAAGTAATTAATGCATGCCATTCTTTTACTTATTTTCGTGTTGTCAGATTCACAGTGCAAACAGCTCCCGGTAGGAATAATTCGAGTGAACATAAAACAAAGCCGATTGAAAACTTTCTTGCTCTGCTAGCTGCACAGAACACAGCGAGCTCACATAATCCAGCATGCGTGTCGCACTACACTACCCACAATACACTTCGCTATGGACTACAAATCCCGTAAATATTCTATTTCCCCTCTCCTACAACACTAGTGTGCAACTTAAGCAAAACTGATAGTAAAATAGTTTTACATTTGGTTTTGTAGTTCGGGCCTAAATAAATGTTTGTTGCCGTTTTTAATTGTTTTAAGTTCATTTGAATGACTATATATATAAACCATTTGACATTATTAACGCATTTATTGGGTTAAATTGTTAGTTTTTATTGTCATTCAATGTGTTTTGGTCATTCTCAATGCACTGTCACTTTAATTGAGCGTGAGCAGCGCGTCAAAAATAGACCCAGCGCCGAAACTATCGCTGCACTGCTGCTTCGGCGACGCTCACGCCTCGCTCTGACGCGCTGCTGCTGCGTGCGGTATGAAAGCTCTAATCTGTTAACATGGACGCCGAAAACACACGCGCTGCTCACGCTCTGCTCACGCTCTGCTCACGCGCCGCTGACGCTTGCGGTGTGAAACAGGCGTTACCGTACGTTCACACCGAAAGCAGCGAGAGCGTCAAAGTAGCCGGAAGTCATTCATTTTCAATGAGAGCCGGCGGCGATAGGCGGCGAGGAGCAGCGCAGCGCGTCTTCGCCAGCATGAGCGTCTAGGAGAGTTGAAATGAAGTCAACTTTATGTTAATGAGCTATGACGCGGTTCGGCGGCAAGCAATCAGAATGAAGACGTCCACCGCTTGACAGCAGTTCAGAGAACACAGACCTGTGAACTTTGGTTCCAACCACAGTTGTTCCCAAGGGTTTGATTATTGCGGTCGCCGGATTTCCAATTATTTACAATGTTTTCCTACAGAAACATACATTACATAAGTTACTGGCGAGTTACTGATGTGCATTAATGTTATTTAAATTTATCTTAAAAAAGCGGGAATCTCACGCGATGTGACAGTACAAAACAGTACTGCTGCTTCAGGATATTTCAGACATATGGACACATATTGGATAAATAGAGCAAAGCCACACCACATGCAACTTGATCTTCCATTGTTGTATGAATTTGATAAGAAGTGCGCAACATTTTCACGCTAGAAACATGTTTTATGCAGGAATGTAACTGATATGCTGCAACGGCTCCTTTAAATACGAGATCAATGTAGCGAGTTTTGACGCTCTCGCCGCAGGAGCTGAAGGCAGACAGCATTGTCGCCAGGGCGGCCAGAGCGACCTTGGACGCTCTCGCCGCTTTCGGTGTGAACCTACGGTTAAAGCGGCCGCTTCTATTTCCCCTCTCCTGCAACACTAGCGTGCAACTTAAGCAAGATTGATACTGAAATTGTTTTACATTTGGTTTTGTAGTTCGGGCCTAAATAAATGTTGCAGTTTTTAATTGTTTAAGTTCATTTGATTGACTATATAAACATCAGTTGACATTATTAATGCATTTGTTGGGTAAAATTGCTACTTTTTACTGTCATTCAATGTGTTTTGGTCATTATCAATGCACTGCCACTTTAATTGAGTGTGAGCAGCATGGCAAAAATAGACCCAGCCACAGAACTATTGCGGCACTGCTGCTTCAGCGACGCTCACGCCTCGCTCTGACTCGCTGCTGCTGCGTGTGGTGTGAAAGCTCTAATCTGTTAACATGGACGCCGAAAAAACACACACTGCTCACGCTCTGCTCAGGCACTGCTTGCGCTAGCGGTGTGAAACAGGCGTAAGCCTCATTCACAAGCGACTCACAGCGGCAAAGCAACAAAACGACCGTTCATTCTCAACAGAGAGCGAGTGACTTCTGACAACCTCCATCTACGCGAGCGACAGTGACCATTGGCGACCAGGTAGAGGTGTCGAGCGATGCGACAAAGCTGAGAATCCTTCAACTTTATGCAAATGAAGAGGGACTTTCTTGAGCGATAGCCAATAGGAACACCAGCAGAGCTCTTGGGATCCTCTCTCAGCTCACTCAGAGGCCGGTTGCATTCGTCCTGTATATACCTACACACCCCTGCGTTTGAAGCAGGTCGCCACCCAGAGCGACAGGTAACTACAAAGTCGCTGCTAGTCTGAATGAGGCATAAGAGATTTGAACCGCTATGCCACTATGGTCAAACATAGGCATTTATAGCTCTGCCTACTTTGGAAAATTTAGATAGAGACGATCTATCTCTCGTTAGCATAGACCAGTGGTAACCAAACTTGTTCCTGGAGGGCAGGTGTCCAGCAGATTTTAGCTCCAACCCTAATCAAACACACCTAAACAAGCTAATCAAGCTCTTACTAGATATACTTGAAACATCCAGGCAGGTGTGTTGAGGCAAGATGGAGCTAAACCCTGCAGGGACACCGGCCCTCCAGGACCAGGATTGGTGACCCCTGGCATAGCCATTACAGTTCTGAATCTGCTGCTATCGTCACACATAATTGTTCTTGAGGTAGGTTAAGGCCCAATCCTAATTCTATTTTTGTACCCCTACCCCTTTCCCATGGCCCTTAAAACAGAGTGTGAAACGGAAGGGCTTCAAAATTTACCCCTAGGAAATGGGACAGCACTACAGCACCTGAGCACGTCATCATATGTCATCGCGATCTCTTGCTTCATATGAGATTAGACAACGGTGACTGCTGTAGTTATTCCAGTTGTGCTATTTTTTGGTATTTATCTACAGGAATTCACTGAAGGCAACAGTATCATGTTATCGTAACAATCTAACGTGGTGATAAGATCATAACTGTACTGTGCATTGACACAGTGGCCATATTCATCCATGTAAACACACCAAAACAACACTAACATTATAGCAGACACTGTAAAAGCCCATTTCCAGCCTCTAGACTTTACAGACAGTGTATTCGAGTGTCATCGAGCGTCAGAATGTTGTGGGACTGCTGTACAGTTATTATTAGGGATTACAGAACCAAATTTAGCGTTTTTTATGTTTTGTTTTAATATTGTTTTTGTAAAAGCATGATGGTAAAACACAAGTGCGTGTTGCATTAAAACATGTGCTATAATATACAATACTAATTTGTGAATCTCCTTAATTCCGTCTGCAGCTATCCTGCAGTTGTGGCTGGAGTATTCTGGGAAATTTTCTTGCCCCTTGGTTTCGAGTGTGGTCCTGAAAATCTCTGTTCGAAGTGCTAACTAGCTTTCAAGCTAAAGAAAATTGGGACACTACCCTTCACGGGAATG